ATCTACTGTATCATTTTCCTTTGGAGGAAATGATGCTCCTTCTTCTTCCCCAAATAAGAACTCAGCACCAATTATTCCAAGATGGAAAAGTACTTGAAAACTCTCTTTGCTGACTATTCATTTTTACCCACACTGCCTTTATTCCAGAGGGAAAAAGCATGAGTTCTGCTCAACCAGGACTTGGAGTTGTCTAAAACATTGCTTCTTAAAGATGATTATATTATTACTGTTGGCTGCACAGTCAGCCAGATGCTTAGACTGGATTTGGCATTTTTATCCACCTATCGAATCCTTCCCAAGGACCTGGGATAGGCAGATGTTGTTGTTTGATGGTGTTAGGGGTATCGTCACAGGATATAACCTGCTCCAAGTAAAGCTGCCTTTTGCAGTTGACTGATGAGGATTTTGTCAATGCCAATGGTGTTCAGGTGGTGCTCCAGATGTTTTGGGATTGCACCTAAGGCACCTATTACTATTGGTACTATCTTTGCTTTCTTTCGCCATAGTCATTCTACTTCTATTTGCAGGTTTTTATATTTTGTGATTTTCTCCAGTTCTTTCTCTTCTATTTCTCCAGGTATTGTAATGTCCACTATCCAAACTTTTTGTCTTTCTTATATTACTATTATTATTATTTTTTTAAAAATGGTTCTTTCTTCATAAACTGAATTGGGGAAAACGTAGGAAAAAATAAGCGAGGACAATTTGCATTCAGAAAAAAATTGCACTGACAACTATACACAAGCGCACGTTATGGGGATTTTTGCAGACATATAACCAGAGAGAAATGGACATTAATGCACTTCTTTTAATGGCATTCATTATGTTGTGATGAAGTCTGTTTTAGTGGATATTCAAAATCCAAATACCTGTAGGGTGAGCCTGTGGGGTGGGGTTGAATGTGATTTCCACATATCCACAGAATTGTAAACAAAAGACTGGCAAGTGGAAATTCAGGAGGGGAGGAGAAATTCTCTTTATAGAGAGTTTGTATTCTCTCTAGAAAGCAGCATGAAACACGACTGACTTTTTCTGTTGCCTTGAGACGGTTGAGGCTGATTGACCCTGCCCTATGCCAGCCATTTGCTGCAATTGATTTTCAAGAGAAGATTGATAAACTGTATGCTGCTGTAATCTAATCAAAAGGACACCCAGAGATGGATATATATAATGGGATACATAATGTAAAAGGCACCAGGAGAAAGAATCTTTGGAAATCAGCTCTCTGTGAGAATCACTAAAGAATTCCAAGCAATTTGAGAACGTTCCAACAAAATGCAGCTATTGGATTTCTCTTCTCTGCTGTAAATTTTCTCTGTTTGGTAAATTCACAGATATCGACCTATTTGATAGAAGATGCATGGTTTTAACACAGCATAATTTCTGTTTTCAATCATAAAGGATTATACAGTACAAACCCAGGCTAGTGGATAGATTCTTAAGTTCTGGCCCATGAGATATCTTGAGATTTGAGGGGTGTGAATTGCCAAGACATGTCACCTTGCTTTGAAACAGCAAAATGACTCATGCAGCGGCAATCTGTCTTACTAACGGCAAGCTTTCAGCATGCCCAGAATCCCTGTTACTAAGCAAAGCAGAAAGGCCATTCCTTTTAAAACAGAACGATGCCTGAACCTGCCCTGACCTTTTCAGATAGATAATACAATGAATTGAGACAAATAGCTATGACAAGGATGAAACTATAACCTGAATGGAAAAATTAAAAATAAATAAATCCCCGGGTCCAGATGGCATACACCCAAGGGTTCCTAAAGAATTAAAATATGAAATTGTTGGTCTTCTGACAATCTCAGGAGACCCTGCTCACAGTCACTCTGCCTTAGTCACCACCTCCTTGGGTTATTGTGATGTGTTTGATAAGGGACTGCTTTTGGAAAACATTCAGAAGCTACAGCTGGTAAAAAAAATAGTGATGGGTGTATTCCAATATATTCTAGAGTAGACAGAACAATGAGAGCCAAAATATATGGAGTAATAAAATGAGCAGAACAAAACACACACTTTGTCTTTCAAGAATCTTTTCTTGAGGTCCTCAAAAGACTGATGTTTTAGCACTTAATATGAAAGGAGAGGGAGAAATGTTAATAGATGTTAAACAATTGGAAGGCAGAACTCAGTCATCTGCAAATCACTCAGAGATATACCAGTATCGCTTTCTCTTTCTCACACCACTGTACATAGTATGTATGTGTTTCATCCTATACAGCATCTCCACTTGACAATGAAGACATTGAACTGGTGGACAGCTTCTGCCTTTTGGGATCGACTATCAATAATAAAGGAACCAGAAGGCAAAAAATATACCACTGGCTAGCACTTGATAGAGTAGCAATGAAGGCCTTGGGAAAGATACTGGGATATATAGATAACATATGAATTGTGCAGGCAATGGTTTTCCCTTTTGTCACACTTTATGGAATAGAAAATTGGACTTTGAAGAAGCAGGATAGAAAGAATATTGATGCTTTTGAACTTTGGTGCTGCAGAAGACTCCTGAGAAAACCACCGATAGTCAAGAAAATGAACAAATGGATAATTGAACAAATCTCACTTGAGGAACAAATGATCAGCCTCAAATTATCCAACTTCTAACACATCATGTGAAGACCTATCTCTCAAGAGAAGTCTATAATGCTGATAAAGGTGGAAAGAAATAGAAGAAGAGGATGACCAGCAGCAAGGTAGATGGATTCAATTACAGTGGCAATGGGTGCAACATTGGAAGACCTGAATGACCAGGTTGGGAACAAATTCTCCTTGAGAAAGTCTATTTATGTGGTCACTAAGAGTTGACGCCAAGTTGTTAGCCACCACCCAGTCTCATGTTGAGTTGGGCAGCCTTATAAATCCAGTAATTAAAAAAAAAAAAAAAACCTTAGTGAATCGATCAATGTCTTCACAAGTACTTCACCCCCAGGAAAACAGGAGAAAGCACAGGCAATCACCATGTTATTCAATACACAACTTACATGAATTCAATGTTAGGCAAGGAATGTAAATTATAGCAGCTGCCATGTTTGCACATCTGCAAAATTAGGGCTGGCTTTTTTGCATGTCCAAACATGGCAGCTGTGCTCTAAGAAAGACAACCGGCAGAAGGGGTCTAGAAACAAAACTGTTTCTCCCCATATCTGCATTTTGAAACCATTTAGGGGGGTCTGCCTTGTGAATATATATTCGCTGTATGAAATGGATATTCAAGTTACAGTAAAATCAGTTCTGCAAACTAGAACTGATTCAGATCAATAATTGAATTGACTTTGAGCATGATTTAATTTTTCCCACCAATTCATTAGCAAGGTTGGGATGGATTCTTTTTTTCAACTTTTCCAACTGAATTTTTAAAAGAGAAATTAAAGAAATCATCATCATCATCATCATCATCATCATCATCATCATCATCATCATCATC